AGCTTATGACAGTCACTTCCTTTTTTCCAACAAGCAGCTTATGACAGTCACTTCTTTTTTTTCCAACATAAACATTAATTCATTGGCGCACATAGAATAGTTTTTCTTCGTTTCTCTTTTTCTCTTCAACGCTTAAAATATCCTGTTCATCTGCCGACATTCTCTGTGTTTTTTCTACTTTTATTAAGATCAGCCATCATTTACGTCTGTAGTATGCCAAGAGAAGGGTCGCATATCCTTTTGAATGACATCCCTTGCTTTAACACATTTACCTTTTGCTCTTTCTGTGTCTTTTCCTTGTTCTATTACTTTTTTCTTTTGTTCCTTTTGCCCCTGAAATATCTACAGTGTATTCTTTATCATTCTGTCTGTGTATACTTTATGCTATATAGACATTCGGGAGCGCGTCTCAATTAGAGAGGAAGATGTGCCAAGAGATAAGATGAACATCTCTTTGAATGACACCCCTTGCTTTAACATATTTATCCTTCATTCTTTCTGTATCCTTTTCTTTTCCTTAGATATTGCGAGTTTAGCAGAACATCTTTGGAGGACGTCGAATATTAACATTATTTGATGAAATATAATTAAATAAAGATATAACAAGACAAATAAGTTCATCAATCATTTATTTTTTTCAGAAAAAAAATACAGTGAAAATTTCTACATCTTTTATAGGATCATTTTCAATACTAAATTTTATAAAAGAAAGTTTATATATATATGAAGAAATAATTATTTTTCCTTTTCTATTCTTTTCTTAAACATTGCACTACGATGACATCATTTCCTCCCCATAGTAGTTGTGACGGATTCTGATCCGCTCATCATTTATCTCTCTCTTTCTTCTCTTCGTATGCATCTATAAAAAGCTATGCTAACATATTGTGCGGCAGTCAGTTAGTCTGTTAGATACTTCTGATTCACTTTCCTTTCCTCTCCTTTTCATCTTATTCCTTTTTGTTCAAATATATGATAGAATAAAGGGTAAATATCAACATTTCTTTGATCGTAGTGCAATGTTTAAGAAAATACTAGCAAAGAATAGAAAAAGAAAAATAATTGTTTTTTCATATATTCTCTTTTTCGTAGAGAAGAGTCCAGTAAACATAATTTGTTTGTTTGTTTGTTTGTGTGTCCGAAGCGTCAAAAAAACATCGAAAATCAATTCTTCGAAAAAGACATTTCTAGAGGTTTGTCGATGCGGGGAGTTCGAATCTAAGGTCTGTTAGGTGGCCACGATGAGAGGAGTCGAGAGGGGGCAAAGGTAAAAAAATATTGAAGAGCAGTTTTTTCACGCTGTTCAATTGTTTTCCAGTAAATGTGAAGAAGTTGTATTTCTACGAGAAAGAGCTAAGCGAGTTTTCGGCCGAGCGTTACTTGTATATATAAACTTTCTTTCATAAAATCTAGTGTTGAAAATGATCCGATGAAAGGTGTCCAAAGTTTCACTTTATTGTTTTTTTCTGAAAACAAATAATTGACTGATGAAGAAGTAGAAATAAAGAATAATAAAAAAAGAATTACTTTAAATTGTGTTTTGAGACTCGAAGACAGAATAGTGTCTAAACCTTAAGTTCAATAAAGAAGCGATAAGTTTACGAGTAAGTTATATACATAGTTTGTTGTGCCATCTACTGCTTTTTGGTGTTATATTTCTTCATATTCAATTCATTATTTATTTATTGTTATTAATTCCGTTACAATTAATCTTTTCTTTTCGTTGCCTTGACTCTACATTTTTCATTGAGTGTTGTTCTGTTTGATTTTGTTCCCTGATTCTCGTAAAAATTTAATTAAAACTTATTATTGCTGTTAAGATCAAAAACAACATTGATGTTTCTAGCTTTTTCATATCTTTAGATGAATTTAATATTTCCACATAAATTACCATCCAATGCAGATTCGTTTTACGAAGCATGTCGTACTGCTAATATTGAAAAAGTTCGTGAATTATTGCCTTTCTTAACCTATAAAGAATTTAATCGACAAGATGTGTATGGCAATACCGTCCTTCATACTGCATGCAAAAGACATGATTATGATCTTGTTCAAGTTCTTCTACAATCGGATTTTGGAAAAAATCCTTATTCACACTCAGGAATAAATCGTAGTGGACAAACCCCGTATCAATGTGCACGTTCAGACAGAGTTCGTTCACTCTTTCTTAGAATTCCATCGATATCATCTGATGATACTGAATTCAAGGATTGGATTCGCATTTACGATAGTGCAACAAATGCTTCGAATGCCATATTTTTGTTGAGTATTTGTCAATCGCGTTGGCCCATCAAATCACTATTAAGATTTTCAAAGGAAGCTGAAGCGTGTGAGATAGTTGGAAAATTCATCAAACAGCATATCCCAAATGAGAGAAATCTCAAAGAAGCCATGACACTATTCGAAGAATATACTCGTACTAAAAATCCCGAACATTTACTTACCCTTTACACTATGGATTCTGCACTTTACACTGCTCTAAAAAAGGAGAGCAATGCTTTTACAACACTGCTGTACTTGCATCTAGACGCATTAAAACAACGATGTGTTGATAAGACAGAACTTTATCGTGGTATGACATTGACATTTGATCAATATCAAAAAGCTCTTGAAGATTATCAGAAAGCCAAGCAAAGTAAGAACCATGTTTTTGAAATATGCGCACTTCAGTCAGCTTCATTCGATAGACAAGTAGCTGAGTCTTATGCCGATACTGAAAATGCGTCCAGTTACGCTATTTTGTTCCATATCAAGTTTTTGGATAAATGTGCTACAGCGATAAATCTTCATAATATCTCGAAATTTCCAAAAGAAGAAGAAATACTGCTGTTACCATTTACATTATTTAAAGTGATTGATATTGAAATGAAGTCATCTAAATATCATATTATATCACTTGAGAATGTGCCGGTACCTTCCGCTACATTCAACAGTATATGGAGACACATTCAAACGTGATCATATCCTTGATTTTTGTCAAAACTATGGCATCGTCATTTAAAGAAGTTTTCTTAATTTGCTTAGTCTTTTTTTTCTTACTTGAAGATATTGTTCCTGAAGGGTATGAATATGGGTGTGAATGCTGGTATTATATTTATGCTTCACATTCATACCCACTCCCCGCTCACATCTACACCCTCAATGTACTTATATGTTAATATTATTTCTTTTGCTTTTATTGTTGTATCTACATTTGCTTTCGAAATTCTATTTGAGATAAATAAAAACATACATTATTTTCTTTTCTTTTAAATGAAATAAATTCGAAATTCTAATATCAATTAACATTTACAATCAAAGTGAACATAATGAATCTTAGGAAAAATGAAAACTAATTTGAATATAATGGGTAAATTACTGATTGATGTTCAAACAAAGATATGATATCAATAGACCTATATATGAATAATATTATTGTCATGAGATTTTTTTAATATAAATAGGAAATTTACAATCTTATACGATCATTGCCAACCTGTAAGTGATAATACAACAAAAAACAAAATAATCTCAAAATAAAATATAAGTGAATTGTTATTATGGTTTGTGGTTATTAATAGTTGAATTTCAATACAGATACACACAAGAGATAAATGAAATACTATTTATCTCGTACTCAAAGACATTCATTCTATCAAAGTGATTTATTTTTCTTTCATGAATAACAATGAAAGAAATTTTATATGAACTATTTTCTACTTGTGATAGTATTCTATTAACCTCCGTTTTTGTGTATAATTATTGTTTTCTATAAATAACTCATCTTGACAGTATGAATAAGAGTATCACGTTGTTTATATTTATTATTATTGAAGATAAAGAAAACATGAGAAAAAAAATAATAACAGATAAGTATTTAGAGATTTATGTGTAAATAGATTTGTTCATCTATTAAGTGACGAATAAAAATCAACAAATTCAGTTTAAGTTCGAATCGAAATAAATCTTGAAAATATTTTCTCATCTAATCTGAATAGCAATACAGTCGGCTACGATCGTATAATTTTAGTCGCAAATATTTCATGTACCACATAGCATAATAACTACACTTATAAAATATCATCATAAGTTATTATAGTTAAATACGATTTATAACAGACAATTGTAAAAATATTGATCAAAATATCTTCAGAGATTCTAGACATGTTACGAAGAAAATAAATCAGAAGAGTTCAGTTATAAAATGATTTATTTTTAAATAAGACGAAGAAAGCAGAAAAAACTGACAAAAAAAAGCAGATTGTTTCATTAAAATTCATTTGATTATAGATGACAATTTCAGTTAACATCAACGTCAAACTTCATTATATGATGCGCATAAACATCAACGACATATAGATTTCCTTTTCGATCGAATGATATAGCTGCGGGTCCACTGAATAGATATGGTGGTTGTTCGGGACTTCCTCCATTCATAACAGTGTAACTTTCTTTAGACCCTACTGACCAGCACACTATTCGAAAAGTGTCATGTTCTGACACATATACATTACCAAAATGATCGACAGTCATTCCGAACGAATCAGACGACTGTGATTGGCCATTGTCTGGATTTTGTTCCTTAGTAACAATAATTCCTTCTTTTGCATTTTGTATCCATTTTGTTACACGACCATATTTATTTTCAGATACATAAATCGAATATTGTTTGTCAACAAAAATGTAAGCAGGATTATTTAGTTGATTTAAATTATATCCAAAACCATTTCCACCTGCTACAATTGTTTCCTTTGTTTCTCCTTGTTTGAATCGTTTAACACTATGTTTTTTTCGTTCTGAAACATAAATATCTCCATTATTATCGATTGTTATACCTACACATTCAATTAATTCGATAATTATTTTTGAACTTATTGGTTTTTGACGAGACCATTGTACTACACGTTCATTTCCTTTATCACAAATAATAAGTAAATCATTTATTTTATCAACCGTTACATCTGATGGATTATTCAATTGATTTAATTTATTTCCTTGTCCATTTCCACCAGCAACGATTTCACCACTTTTTTCCCCGAATTTCCATCCAACAATTCGATGACTATGATAATCAGCAATGTAAATCGTCTGTTTATCATCATCAATATAAATTCCTTGAGGTGAATTAACTTGATTTAAGTTATTTCCATACCCATTTCCTCCGGCAACAATAGAAAAATTTAGATTCCATTTACGATAATTATGATTTGACATAGAAGTAAACGATAATTCTATTAGAAAAATAAAAAGAGAAATAAACTAAAATAAATGTTTATTAGATACTGACAATCAGGTGCTTCTTCAGATCACACATTGGCTGGCCTAACAATGAGTGTGGGTGAAGGGGTGTCTGTAATCTGAAGAAGTACGGCCAATAAATTATTTTTTCTCTACTATGTATCTCACAAAAAGTTACCTTCTGTTGTTATTGCTGCTGTTGTTGATGTTATTGTTGTTGAGTGTGATGTATTTTTCTTTTTTGTCATGACAATAGGTAATGAAATAATTATTGATAATAGAATTAAAATAAGAATAACACTAGTTGTAATCCATATGAATCTTTTTCTTTTTAAAATATTTAGAAATCTAAACAAAAAATGAGTTTTGTTGTTTATTACAATTGTAAATTTTCATACGATATTCTTGATTGATTGGTTGATATTGGAGGTATTTTATCATTAATTGAATCAAACTAAAATAGTCAAAATAATATTATCTTATTAGAATTTTCTTTGTAAATTACATTATCATTATTTTGTTTCTTATCATTCATAGTTGATATTTTAATTGAGTCTTTCTTAATAAATGATAATCTAAAAATAGAAAAATAATTCTTGAAAAATATACTAAAAAAATTTTTTTTTTCAACAATTTTTAAAATCTAGAAAGCTAACAATAAATATAAATATATATATACATTCATTAGTTTTTATATTAATTTAAGATAATAAATGAACGATAGAAAAATATTTTTTACCCAATAGAAATTTTTATTATTTTATCCTAAATCAACAATTGTTATCTCGAAAAAAAAACATAATAAATAACATTTATTCTTCATGATATTTTATCTCATTAAATCTAAATCTAAATTAAATTACATCAAATTTTATTATATTTCTACTTCTAGTCTAGTATAAATATTTAATTCTGCATCAATAAATCGATTTATTTCATTGGTTTTAAACTAGAAAAGAGCAGAAAAATGTTAATATATTCTGTCGGATTGTTTATTTTATTACTCAAGCCAGACACGGCTTATCTTAATAATATAAAAAACTGAATTAATTTTTTTAAAACTAAATAAAACAATTGATTCCAAGATAAATGAAAAACAAGTATAGAGATCAGATATTGTCTAAACCATTTAAAATTGATCAAATTTAAACCAATATACTATATATTATTTTATAATTAACAAGAAAGTGCTTTCTACTTGAATTTAATGCGTTTATCGATGATTTTCAAGAAGATAATTAAATATAGGATTTTATACCAAATGTTATTGTAAATATCATAGAATAATTCAATTTATGATAGTTACTTTTAATTCATAATATCTTATGTAGTTTTAGACATGAAATTAGGATCTTTAGTAGTCTTCAAAAATACATATCAATCATTAGAACTACAAAAAAAATTGATACTACTGTTCATTTCAAAAATAAAGGTAAATGGATATTTCTTCAAACTTAATTAAACATATCAAATTCCTATTTGAGAAGTATATGAATTACTTTTGATAGTATTTATTCATGTTTGTTAATCAGAGATGTCCACCACCGTTGAGAATCTGCCACTGCCGCGCCGCGACTATAATAAAAAGAAGCATGTCGCACCGCGCCCTCATAAAAAGTTGACGCCTGTTAATCGATGAGATTCGTCTAGCTTTACATTGCAGAATACGTCAATGTCGAGATTATGTGTAAATTTCGTGATTTTTTAGAGCAGTCATCCTATTCCGGAAAGTAACACATTCCGGAATCGCTTGGCTCACCCAACTTAACATAATTCAATTCCGGAATTCCTTGCATTCGATTCCTACCTATTCCGGAATTCCTTACATTCGATTCCTACCTATTCCGGAATTCCTGCACATTCCTACCAATTCCGGAATTGCTTGATCAATTGACATTTATGTAAGCCTGGACATGATGACAAATACAGAATTCCGGAATTCGTGCATTTCCCGGAATTCCTGCACATTCCTACCAATTCCGGAATGGCTTGATCTATTGATATTTACGTAAAACTTAACATAGAGACCTTTCGTCGGTATGCAAGCACAATAGTGTGGGTGCGCGGGGAGCTCGGTCGATGGGCAAACACAATAGTGTGGGTGTGCGGGAGGCTCGGTCCGTGAAGAAGTACGCAATAGGCAGGATTTCCTACCTATTCCTACCGATTCCGGAAAAGCCGGACTGTGCACGAATTCCGGAATTCCGCTACGGAATCGATTCGATTATTCAGGAGGATCATTTCTACATGAAGTATAACTTGTGCAATTCCGGAAAAGCCGGAATTTCTGCCTATTCCGGGCGATTCCGGAAAAGCCGGACTGTGCACGAATTCCGGAATTCCGCTACGGAATGGAATAAGTCGCTCACCATGTTCATTTCTACATCAAGCATATCTTTCGTAATTCCGGAATTGGCAGGAATAGCATTAATCTGATGGAAGGAATTCCGGAATTGGCAGGAATCGAATTCGATCTGTTCCGGAAAAGGCAGGAATCGTACGCAAGAAATTCCGGAGTTGAATGATGTTAAATTGGGTGGGTGCAGCGATTCCGGTATGTGTAACTTTTGGGAATAGGAAGCATTCTCATTTTTTAAAACTGTTTCCTGAAAAAACTGCCGCTACCGCGACGCGAACGCCACGACGGTCGCGGCAGCGCCGCCATGGACATCTCTGCAGTACAATATTGAGTGCATATACTAATAAAAAAAAATGAACAACTACGTAGTTACTTTTTTTAAAATTTGTCCTGAACAAAATTATGCCATATGTGAGTTATCATCTGCTACAAATAAAGTATATAGAAGAAATGTCATATTCTCCTATGTAGGTAGAATGCGGAAACAAATATTTTTACAAGGAAATGCAAAGTTTTATGAGAGAAAAAAAATTCTATTAGGATAAAATAATTTCTACTAGTAAAATTAATATTTATTTTTATGATGATTAATTTTACATTTATAATTCAGGGTAATTTGGTGTCAAGAAATAGTCGGATTTTGTGATTTCACATGATGCCGAATTTTAAGCTGAAATCAGTCAAAAACTGGTACTAGAACTTGCCAGATTATATAGGAATACAAGCGTTCCATTAATTGCATTTATTCCTGTTGAATAGTATAGATCTGATAAGAATCAATTACTGGTACATATGTGATTCGGGATAATGACTAGCATTCTTCAAACGAAATAATATTCAATGGTTGTATTGAAAACTCATGCCGCTACGTTTAATTAAATTGAATGAATAGCATAGCAATTATCAAGTATAAGTAACTACAAATAGCTGCCGTATATCGAGATACTAATTGCTTCAATATTAAACAACTTAAGTGAGGCAAACAAAGTAGCGTTTACGATTAATTACACTTTTGAATAATGATGAAGGGAGAAAACTGATTTCTTAATTAAGAACTATTTTGTATTAGTAGAGATCACTTTGTTCTCCAGTGGTAATAGCATCGTCGTCGCATGAAAAATAAGTAAAACAAAATTATTGAATTATTAGAAATCGATTTTGATTGAATAATCTTAATAATTTTTTGAAAGCTATTATAATCAAAATGATGCTTTTTTAGCTGATTAAAAATGGATTTTTTATGAAAAAAGTTTTTATGAGCATCTCTGATAAGTTTTACATTGATCAGCACAATAAAACCTAGCGGATTATGTATAGACCATATTCATAAAAATACTTCGCTCCTTGTAGAGATTCACTTGAAAAGTTTTATATATTATTTCTTTACTAAATCTTAATAAATCAAAGTCAGTTATCTTTGTATTGAATTTTTACAAGGAATATAGGAGAAAAGTCGATATTTCAACAATTCCTTTTCAAATTACATTCGTTTCATTTAGGAACATCTGTTTACCGTGTACTAATTGTAAAATATACTTCGTATAAAACTTGCAGATTTTCAATATGTTTCTATAATAAAAACATCAAGATTTTTATGACTATGTCGAATAGTTTGTTTTCTTTTTCAGTTATTTTATATAGATATATGAATCAAGATAATAAATAACAAATAATATAACGAAAACATAACTTCAGTACAAAATTCATTTATTAATTACATAATATCCTCGGAACAGTCTGTACATTAGTTCTCAGATATCTGAAAAAACCTCAATAATATTGCTTTTATAGTAAAAAATACTTTCTGTTCATCGAAAATTCTAAAATCAAACAATTTCCTAAGCATTAAAAAATAATTATCTCGCGCAAATCTTCTTTTTTTAAACAAGATAAAAGAAAATCAAAGCCTTTCAAATTACAAACTCAAGCAAATAATTACATGTATTCAAAAATAGAAAAAATGTATTCATGCTAATTATTTTATCACACTATTCACGCTATAATAGAGAATTTCTACCACAACTAAATTCTAAACTGATATACGACATATACAAGTCTTTTTTTATTTTTTTTAAAACTACGTTGGAAAACCTTTTTAATGTACACTTCCATACTAGATATGATCGTAGAGAATTTATTGGGAGGTTCTAGGAATGATTCTTGTATATATATTGCGCTATTATAGGATTAAATCGAGTTCAAAGAGAAGAAACCTTTTAAAATCTTTAGAAATATCCTGAAATGCTGATAAGTCATGATGAGATTGTTAAAAATCTTCTTGAAATTAGGATGAAATCTCCTAAAATGCTTAGAGCTCATGATGAAATCTTTGAATATCTCGAGAAATAGCGAATAATAGTGGGAGAGAAATTCGACATTAGATTTGATAGTTTTCCGAAGGGTTTACAGGTCGGATTAAATGACCTAGATGGATACAAAACTTTTTCTATGAAAAAAGAAACATTGTCATACTAGTAATTAAAGACTTTTATTATCAATCGTGACAGTAATTTCTGCTATGATGCTTCATAGATAATAAATGAGAAGAAAAACATTCATATTTTTTTTATATTAAGTTTCAGATTTTTCAGCAAAGACAGAATATATCATTTTGAATAAAGTAGTATGTCATCGTCGTCTATATCCGATGGAATTCTCAAATTTGCTACACAATACTCGATGTATACTGGTTATATTATATTTAGTTTTGGATTTATTGGTAATGTGTTGAATCTTCTCGTTTTTACTCAACTGAAGCTATTTCGAACCAATCGATGTGCGTTCTACATAACTATTGAATCAATCTCCAATTTAGTATATCAGTTTTTATCTATTACTTCAACCATTTTAATATCAATATATGGAGATGATGCAACAGGACGTTCTTTCATCTGGTGTAAATTCAGATATATATTGGGACAAGTATGTACGCTCACTAATTTTTATATGATATGCTTCACTGTTGTTGATCAATTCTTTTCGACAAATCATCGTTTCAATTTAAGACAAATATGCACATTGAAATTAGGTCGTTATTTTGCGTTTATATTCATGTGTTTTGCAATCATTCATGGCATTGTAATGGGGTCTTCTTTTGATATTCAACCAACAATGGGATGTGTCTTATCGAATCATGTCTGGGTTCAGTATTCAACATTTTTCTATTATCCAATTTTAGTTGGTTTCCTACCTGTTGCAATTGCATCATTATTTAGTATCCTAGCTTATCATAATGTTCGTCGTATAGTTCGACGACAACTGCCAATTGTTCGTCGTAAATTAGATAAACAAATAACAGCAATGGTTCTTATGCGTGTAATAGCCTTTGTTTGTTTGACACTACCTTATAATACTTATCGTATCTATGCTATTAATTTTCCTATATCACAAAGTATGCCTATAGCATATACAATTGGTCGATTAATTCAAGCAATTCTTCTTTCTTTCTACATTATAAATTATATAGTAAAATTATTTTTTTTGCTACTTCATAATTGTAAGATTTTGATTTATTTTAGATCAGCTTTTATATCTTTATAATATTCTCATCACGTTTCCGTCGTCAAGTAAAACTTGTTCTAGTAAAAAAATGTTGGCAACGATGGAAATATTGGTGTTGCTCCATAAATAATCAGATTGAACCTGACAACATTCCTGAAACACGCAATTCACAAGCAGAATCTGAAGAAAATATCTAATTGTTCATTAAATAAATATATAAATTGTCCTATGTCTATTTTTTCCTTGAGGCTACGTGTGGGTGTGAATACTGTATTCACCTAGCACCCACACCCATTCCTTTTCGCGATGAGATGTTATTAGTTTCGTGATATACGATAATGGAAGAATAAGACAAACTAGTAAAAACATGCGTATCGATCACGTTATAACCACCTGACCAGATAATGATTTTCTGCTTGCTTTGTGTCTTTCCATTCTTTCGTAAGCATCCAAAAAAAATATTATAAAAATTGCAGAAAAAAAGATGTAGGTTACAAAGAGAATCTGCATATTTAAGAAAGATGATTGATCTAATGAATGCATTAGCAACATGCTGTTGTCAAGGAATATACATGGTATAAATTGTTCACAAATGTCGAAGTTGTTTACTCTTTTGCAACTATTAATTATTCTATATTGTCAATAGTTGTTCTAATTCATATTTTTATTTTCTCGTAAATCATTTCTATAAATAATCTGAATAAATTTTTCAACAATGTCATGGATGACAGCGTAGATTGGAAAAGTGATGAATATATTATACACTCACATTCCAACATATATTTTTCTCATATTGAAAACAATTTTATTAGACCTCTCAGTCAAATATTTAACATATTGTATAAATAAATAAATCCTATCAGTTTCATTTAATTTGTCTTTGTTTTCTTATGAAAATAGATAAACGAAAATTAAGAGACAGATATTAGTATACAGCTTCATCATATGACAAAAAAGGAGTAAAATCGAGAGAAATGTAGTATATCAGATAAGAGAAAACGGGGAGCAACAGTATGTTGTATATAAAATGATAGTGAAAATGAATTATTTCAACAATAACATAAACGGTAGAACGCTAAGAAGTAGGCATGGTAAGTCATTTTCCAATGAATTATAGCATAACTTGTATTAAAAACAAACAGACTGTTATTATCTTGGAAGAATAATGCCAAAAGTATCAAACCAAGATAGGATACATCGAATAAATTGAAGAATACCTGAGGAAGATTTCAAGAATTCTCATCATTCCCACTGTATTTTAATTTTCGATTATGAAATCTAAATGGCCTATATGCGGCTTTACAAAGTTGGGTGTTAGTGCTGTTTGCATAAATTAGTGATACCCCTTCCGTATATGAAGCGGTTCTTTTCCTATCATTGTGTGAAATATATCGAGATGTTTTGTCATGCGCAAAACATTATTTTTTTCTACGGTTGCTCTTTTGTTGAAAAAAGTCACAAAACAAACCACTAGACATTCTGCATGTATTCTGTTTGATTTCATGCGTCAGATACAGTAAAATTATTTTATGTGTAATGACGTTCGTACTATTTGTTGTCGTAGTAGAAAGAATAATTATTTTTTTTCCGACAGGTATATAAAGAAATGAAAAAACTCATTACTTTACCATTGAATTTCAAATATTTATTCAATTATTGTGAAAATGAGTCTCTTTTGTGACGATGGTTGTTTTCCAGTGGCACATCACTATTCAACAAAACGACGATCAAGTCGAGCAGATGGATCATCATTTGAAGTAGCTTCTGTTGCAGCCAGAAGTGTTAAAGACAAATATTCTTTGAAAGTTCCAACACCTTTTGGTACTGTGAAATTCAATGAAAGTCATACACGAAATGCAGCCAAAGGTTCACGTGCAAAAGCAAGCCGATTTTCAGCTGCTTCAAATAGTATCTCTCATGGAGCTTCCTTCTTTTAATTTCAAATGCTTTTCATGGAAACATTATTCGTATAGTATTTTTTGTCTCTTTCTTTTAATTATTAATATATCTCTTAGCAATTTCTTCCTCAGTATTGAATAATTAACCTTATGTAAGGATTCATTTGATTAAATAAATTTTCAAAAAAACAAATCTTGCCAAAAATTTCATTTCAGAATCATGGTTGTTAATTACAGGTAATGAATAGAAAAAAAATTGCATGCATCGCTCTCAAATGAGAAAATGCAAAGCGATTATTATTAGAAAAAAGAATATCTGCACGATTGTTTACTCGAGCATATAAAAATTAACTTATCTTCAAATTTTATAAAATTTCGATCCATCAAGCGCAATTCTTGTACTTGTTCACACTTTTGTTATTACCAATGATCTGTTTGAACCACAGTTTAATGATGATCCTCCGATTACAATGTTATTTGTTAATCAAAAACAAAAACGAATTGTTATTTATTTTAATTATAAATCGATCAATACGAAGATAGCAATTATGTTCGAAGATAGAGATCCACTTCGAACAAACTCAATGTCGGTATAGCTGTTGTTCGATTAAATTAGACCTTTTTTTATTTTAAAATAAATTCAAACGAAAGAAAAAATTGTTTTTCTTATCTGAAATATTTAATAATTGGTGATATTCAATATGAAATATTCTAAATATGTGAATGTGTGTGACGGTATTGCGCAATGAACATTAGAATCTGAAGCAAACACAACCCCACACCTTCAAGAACAATCTGGGACTAAGTAAACCGAGTTTAGATATTGAAAAAAAAAATGAAGATGTTAAGTTTTATTTTTATTCATTTGATAAGCATAAAACGTGATTAATATGGACTGAAACAAAAAGCAATAAATCTGTTTATTTAATAAGAGTAAAGCGTGATTAATATGAATAGAAATGAAAAGCAAGAAAATCTTTGTTTATTTAAGATGAATTTGTAGCTGGGTTAACTCTATTATTCATTCGACACATTGTTTTGACAATGATAATAGCAATTAAACGACAAATAATAACTAAGCCACCATATAAACCAATTAATGTTAATATTCCTTCAATAGCATTCCTTTTATCAACATATGAATAAATACATAATGATGGTGAACTTGCATTAAAATAATTTGGATAATTTATTTCGAATTTTAATTCTTCAATCATTAATTCAATAACAACTGATTCAATTGTTTGATTTAATAAAAAACGACTTGTTTCTAATGATGAAATATTTATTGATTTGAAAGTATTTGTTAAATCAATACAAGTTTGATTATAAAAACAGTGTAATGTTGTTTGAAATATTGATTCAAGTGGATAACAACCAATTAACATTCCATGTGATGAACTAACACATTTAGATGATGATGAACAACTGCATCCATTATAATTTAAGGGAAACATATGAAAAATCTTAAGAGAAAGGTTAGGACTTGTACGATCAAACTCCCAATTACTTAGAGATGTAGTCATGAACATATTACTACTGATTGTTTCTCGAATTAATGAAATACTATTGACAAATGATTGTGATAGTGTTTGTTGAAATTCATTAATAAACATTTTAATTCGATTATTTAAGATATCTAATGATAAAAGTTGATTATTAATAAAATCCGTTGTTTCCAATTGAAAAATTGATTCAAAAACTGTTTCTTTTGATAAATTACAAAATGACGAAAGTAATTTAAATTGTCCAACTGCTGAATTATAAAAATCATATGGTGAATGTCGTGTATCATTATCTCTTTTCTCGTATAAATATAAAAGCCACGGATCTGTAATAAAGTTACTTAAACATATTTCATGAAAACGAGTTGTTAAAGTTAAAAATGATTTATATTTCATTGATAATTGTGAACATGGACATTCCAATGTATCATTATATTTTTTATATAAATCTTCATAGATTTCTAATGAAGGTTTATCCGTTTCAATAGTAATTACATGGGGAGTAAAAGTAGAAAACATGTAAAATGTAGTAAGAATTCCAATAACTAAAATGACATGTAATCGATGAATAATTTGATTTTCAGTATGACAAATAAAGATTTGTTTAACGAAATTGAATGAAATTAAATTTAAGAAATTATTTGAAAAAATTTTATTAATAAATTCCAGACTAATCATAATTAAAAATTTTAATGCAAGTGATAAACCACCAAAAATACTTATAATAGTTGTAATACTAATAAAAATATTATTTCGACCATCATATTGATATGTACATGATAATGGTGCACATTTTTTATAATATGATGAAAAAGAAACAGTTGGTAACCATTGATCAACCATCAATCGATTAATAATCATTTCGATTGTTTCATTATATTCATTCAAATCTGGATCAAGAGGAGAAAAGTAAAAACATACTGGAGAACATAGATCTTTATTAATTGCTAACATGCATGATAGATTATAAAAACATTCTAATGTTGAAACCAATAATGATTGAGTTGGATAACAACCATAAAAAAAATTCGAAACTAGATATGGATCATCCACGTATGGACTACCACAACGTCCACGATAAAGTCCAACAGTAGAGTTACAGGATAATGATAAAATACAATTACATCCTTTGGGTGATTTTGATGCTACATATATTTCTGAATTTGTATCTACTTCAAAAACACCGGTATATATATTACTAATCAACTGATTTCCCTGATAAATTCGTTGAATTAATTGAATAGTTCTTTTAAAAGTATTTGTCGTTGTTAATTTCAAACCTTCAATCGATAAATTCATTTGATTTTCAAACGATTCTTTTGCAAGAACTTGTGAACTAACAAATTCTGCTTTGAAAAAAATCTCAAGTGAACTATCAATGGTTTCTTTAGCTTGTTCACAAAGCAATGATAATAATTGAAAATAACCAACAGAAATTTGTCGATAATCGAAATGATATCCACTCCCGCTTAAGGCACCTTCATGGATGTACTGAATCCATCTTTCAGAAATAAGATCACTTCGACATAATTGATGATATTGTGGTTGAATTATTGTAAAATTTGAATAAGATATTGATATTGAACTACATGGACATGAAAGTGATCGAGCATATTTTTCTTGAAGTTGATTAAATTGAGATTCAGTGGGATAATAAATCGTTTTTGATTGAATTGATTTTTGTAAAAATACATAAATAGTTATAATTATCATTGAACCAATGAGAAAAAATAAATACAATCGTGTTGCATAACGTTGAAATTTCGTTTGCCGATCTGTATTAAAAGATTGTTTGAAAATGTTCAATTCAATTAATTTCTTTTGAATATTTTCTTTAAATTGATATAAACGATTTTTGACTAAATATTAAGAGAAGAAATATGATTTTATGTAATCAAAATGTACAAAATCAATTTCTTTTAACTATTATCATAATTAAAATCATCAACTTTTTTTTCGTTCTATTCTTAATTATTAATTTGCTACTTTTTTACTTTCTCATTGATAGTAATTTCTACTTACAAGAAATTCGTGGTTCTGGTGTTCGATCTCGTCGTTTCATAATGAATCGAATAACCAGCGGAATTATTAATCCCACTATTAATGTCAAACTAGACAATAAACTAATCAATTTTTTTAAGACATGAATAAAATCTCGTCGAGATATTTTCAAATAAGTACATGAAGATGATGCACATTCTGAATAATATTTATCATAAGCAATATTCAATGTCCAATTTTCAATCATCAAATTATCAATTATTGATTGGACAGTTGATGTTGGTTTATATAAACTTTCATTATTTATAATCATCACTTTGAATTTGTCACTTGTTGGAAAATATGAAATAAGTTTATTTACACATGTTTGATTGTAGAAACATTCAAGTGTCGAATGTAGAAGTGTAAATCCTGGGTAACAGCCTGTTGACATTCCTGGTATAGGCCATGCCAAACTATCCTCGATCAGACCCACATCCCTTGTTCCAAATTCATTGACAATACCTGACTGTACTTGATTATGACTATTTAATCTGCAACTAAACGAAGAACCATCCGTTCCTCGGTAATAATGTACAAGTAGCATAAAGTAATTCTCTCCATCTCTGACAGCACTGCTAGTTTGTACTGCAGGTTTTAATTGATTGGCGGTTGTCATTTGGATGATTAGTTTTAGTTGAGTATTAAAAGTATTTGGCGTTTTTAGCTTGACTTGTTCAACTGTTGTACTGATGCGTGCGTGCAGAGATGTTTCTGATAAAATTTGTGGACTTAGCAATGTGTTTTGATAAAGGACATTAATACTGTGATCAGCATATGATTTTGACAAACGACAATAAGCAGCAAGTGCTTGAAACTGAGCATTACCAAAACGTCGAAAGTCTTGAAAAGCAAAATAAGTTGTATTTGTTTTTGAATCAATTGCATTTAGCCATCGATCACTAATAAAATCACTTGAACAAACTTGATGAAAATTTGCTTTCAATGACATAAATTTTCCATATGGGACAGAAATATGAGAACATGAGCATTTTGCATTGATAGCCAGACGTTGAAACTGTTCTTTTGTTGGATTTGGTATAGTAACCATCATCGATTGTTCAAGTAATAATAAAATTAGACCAATAATAAAAAGAATGATTATGATAAGTATAATATAAATTCGTGTACCAATAGTATTCCACCGACGTTGTTGATCATTTTCTGGTTCATTGGAATCGGATGATGGTGAAAATAAATTTAAATTCAGAAAGTATTCTTTTAAGGAGGACATTTGTTATAGTATAATAAATATCACTTGTAAATATTTATTTTGGTTAGTCTGAATATAAAATTAAAACTTTCATGAAAAACAATTCTACTATCGTTAATTAATGTCTCATTGCTCCGCTATCTCATCACTTTATTGTATTAAATATCACTATTTTAAAGTTAAAGGCAATATAAAATCTAGAGAATCATATCATGAGGATGTGAGAGTTTTTAACATCAAACACTTACTTGAGTCGACTTAGAATCAAAATGAAGAAAAATAAAGTTGGAGATGAATAAAATAGAAGAAAAAGCTTGGGTGTGGGTGGGGGTGTGTATGTGGATATGGATGAGATAAATAGGATACACCCACATCTACACGCACACTCACCCCGTTCCCTTTATTCCCATTGTTTAAATATTTAAAATAAAGTCACATTCATTTTATTTTAACGGCAGTAGTGGTACTTATTAAAAAACGCGAATAAATCTCGAAAAAATAAGTTTTAGAAGCGGCTGAGGAAAAAAGGAAAGAGAGCAAAGCATTTAGAAAGAATCGTACGTAAGCGGACGATTGATGCACATGTCAATGATGAGGAAAAGAGAGAAAAGCAGACAAAAGTGACAATTAGCAACACAACAGAAAAGAGAGAAAAGCAATGATTGAACTTTGTGCGGATGGCATAATAGTGTTTTCAAAGAATCGAAGATTAAATATTTTACTACATTGCAAATTCTAGACTAATCAATAATATTACACTCCAATCATTATCATCCATATAATTCTGCACTACTCCATACGGTATAACCATCAGCGGCTCCACCAGCGACTAAGACATTTCCGTTTGCTAATGTAACTTGCGTATGATAGAATCGTGCAGTTTTCATTTCGCCAGTAGTTGTCCAGAGTCCTGTGGGTGGGTTGTACACTTCTACACTGTTCAATCCGGTATAACCATCAACAGCTCCACCAACAACTAAGACATTTCCGTTTGGCAATATGGATGCTGTGTGAAGATA